CAAGAAGCACCTCTGGCCATCAGAGTTATTTTTTTCTGAAAAGACTGTGTTTACTGCAAAAAGCCTGGAGGGAATGATTCTACTCACCAGAACATATACAATAAGCTGTAGTTGTTCTGGTGACTATAGTGTCCCTTTAAGTTTGGAAGCCTAAGAGGGATGTATGGGAACAAAACTTGTGTGGACTGGCTGACAATAAAATTAGTTTAGGTAATGCAGACGTTGGTCTCTCTTTGGCATGTCCCCTTTCTTCTACACTCACTACATACACCTTTTCTCTGTCTCAGACTATATACCAGGAACTTCTGCCTGCTAGTAAGAAGGTAAGGAGACAAGTGGACATGTGAGTGCTAGGGGACAGTCCTTAGAAAGCATGGAGTTAGCGCATCATTAGACGCGTTTATGTCAAACTCAGGGTGCTGCCTGCTTAGTATGCCCTTAGTTGGACAGCCTGCATGATTGACAGGCAGCCTGACATGCATTCATGTCAGACTGTCCTTCAAATTCTTTGAACAGATATGCCTGGAACGTTTGTTTAATTGATGGGTATCCCATACCACCATGGTATCCCTTTCTCGGCAGAATACGGGTATTAATTCAAGGTCTTTTGCCTCTCCACATATAGTTTTTAATGCTACTCTGTGTCATGCCCTACCAGTGTTTGGAGATAGAGAGGGGAAGCAAGCGGAATAGGTATGCCCATTTGGGTATAATGTATGCCTTTATGGTGTTTATCCTACCCCACCAAGAAATCTCGTGACCTCTCCATTCATTTAATGAGTTGTTGGTCTCTTTCATGTGTCTTAAACAATTAGCCCTCATAGCCCGCCTGGGGTCTCCTGTGATTTCAATACCCAAATAGGTGATTTCCTTGGCTGTACAGCTAAAATCGCAATCTCTCTTCATTGATTGGAGATTATTTCCTCCTATATTTTTTCATATTCAGGGCTATAGTTTTGTTCATATTCAATTTATAGTTTGATACAATGCTATATTTACCAAATTCCTTCATTGAGTTAGGTAAGGAGGTATCTGGTTCTGTAACAGATATTAGTATGTTGTCCGCATATAGACAGATTTTTAGTTCTCTATCCGCCAACTTGACACCCTTGATCTGTGGGTTATTCCTAATATTAACAGCCAGGGGTTCATTGGACATACAGCAGCGGAGATAACGGGCAGCCCTGTCTCGCCCCATTTGCTAGGTTGAACCAATCAGAATACATATCTCGGCCCACTATCCTTGCCGAGGGTACCGAATACAGAGCTCCCATTGCCTTTACTGGGTCAAAAAATGGGTCAGAACACCTCTTAAAATTTTAGCTTTTTTTGTTAGTTTTGGCTTTAAGACAAGGGTGCGGAATCTGAACAGAACCAGATTATCCATCAGACAGCCAAGGAGGCCCACCTAGGGCTCCTGAGCTCTGTCACTTAGTTGAGGGAGCATTGTGGTCTCAAATATCTTGTACAGACCATTTTTTTAAAACGCCCTCATGGTCCCCCTGGAATTTTTTGATGACTCAAACTGCCACAGCGCTTAATCTTAAAGTAGTATGTATCTACTAAAATGTGACTAAAACTGTTAGTCGACAAAATAAATGCTGACAGAACAAAGTACAGCCCCCACACAACACTCAACCAGTGCACACACCAACACACACAGCTTTTTCCACACACAACAATCACACGCACATACACAACTCACAGAAACAGAGCCTAGGGCAACATTAATCTGAGAACTCCTGTAGCTTTTTTTTCTTAATTAAATCTATGTACACATTTGTTACATGAATGGACCTTCATTGTATAATATTCTGTTAAAGTTGAGTAACAAATTTCTGTATTAATTATTAAATATAACACACTAAGAACATATTTTACTACACTGTATAACCACTGATTTTTTTAAAAATATAAATACTGTTTAAATAAATGGAATAAAATCAGCACATTAATGTCATTTGTACATTTTTACTGAACTGGATTGACTTTTGGATCACTGCCATTAATACTGGTTTCTGTTAAGGAAGACACCCTTTTAAATATGTCTCTTGTTTAGCACACTGTGCTTGAAATTAGTTTCCTACTTCAAGATTTTGCCGTAAAATTTCCTAAGGACATGACAGATGGATAGAAAAGTCAGGCACACAATTAAAGGGACAAGGTAACTGCTGATCCATGTGCGATAAAGTCATCTGATATGCCATAAATTTATCACATGATACATCAATGGATATCTGTCGACTACGTGGAATCTTGTTTGAAACCATAGAAAGCATGCTACAATCAGTTATCTTCCATAGTACAGTTACATTTGCAAGTGTATACCTAGTGTGTTGTTAATTAGAACATTATTTAACCCTTTCTTTTACAGTATTATGACCAATACACTACGTTATACACCTTTCACCATTCAAAAGATTTAAAGGGACACTCTTGTTGAAATTTAGCAGAGTTGTATAGCACAGCAGAATCATACATAAGTCAGAGCAGGGCACATATATATAAAGATCTCAAACCCGAAAAGGTTGTATAACAAGAGAGAGGAAGAAAGACAAAACAATACACCTCCCCTTTAGAACCACAGATACTATTGAGGACACGGTGTCAGGGCCCCGCGGGTGGCTGTGCGGGGAGGAAGCAATCCACTTGCAGTACTCACCTTCCGTCCTTCGCCGCCCGCGGTCTCCCCTTCCCCTGCTTGTCGGCGAGTCCAGCCCTCCTCCTCGCCTCCCAGCGGCAGCATGTATAACGCTGCACGCTGGGAGCCTGCGCACTTATGCGAACGCCGGGGTCAGTCACGTGACCCGGCATTAAAGACACAGTACCATAATCACAGTGGGAGGTGTAAATATCCCCCACGTGTGTTTGTGAATTCTGATTGGAAGTTATGCAATCAGAATTAAGCACAGGGTTTTTATACTTACCGTTTCTGTTTCTCAGTGCCCTGTTGTGGTCTTGTGATACCTGTAGGGCAGTTTGCTTGTGTTTCTCTCTGGTTACCGATTATTTGGCTTGTTATTCCGATTTTTCTGTATTCTCCATTCCTTTGACCTCGGCTTGTTTCTCGCTCTCCTGTTTTCTGGCTCCCTTTACTTGTCTCCTGACTATTCTTAGTGTGCTTAACCCGGCCATTCTAAGGACCGGTATAGCACCCTTCCTCTCTGTGACCTGTTAGCGTGTTAGGTTCCCGAATCGTGAAACACAGTAACTCCTCCAACACATACAGATTAGGCACTAGCGATTATTACTAACAATCCCCTTCTCAATGGTGCCTAATTCGAACCTTCTAAATTTATCTTCAAGCTTCTCAAAGAATATCTCTTGGCAAGGGTTTTGTCAAAATGTCAGCTGTAAGCCCTTCTGTTGGGCAGTACTGCATCTCAATTAGTCCTTTCTGCTACACCTAATGTGAATGTGTTTGGTGGGTGCATTTACTTTCTCTGCTTGTACTATCTTTATACAACTCTGGCTTTCTTCCATCAGTCTGATGGGCTTGGGCTCTGGTATCCTCAAGTCCTCTAGAAATTGGTTAAGCCACTGTGCTACCATGCATGTACCTGCTACAGAGATATACAGTGCTTCTGTACATAATTGTGCCACTTAATCTTGCTTACCATTAGTCCAACTGATAGGATCATTTATCATAAAAGAATATGTGGTCACCGATAGATTTACAATCTAATTGGTCTCCATCTGTATATCATACTCGTCTGGGATCTCTGACTGCTGATAACTTTATAAATTAAACCAAGAGGGCTGCACTCACCTGAACATGCATTCATTATACGGTGCTGCTGGGGCCAGTATATACAACATACAAAATACACAATCCAGCACACTCACTTATTCACTAAACAATGATTTCAAATCTCACAGATTGTAATAGTATTATTTAAAAACACCTCACCTAGGCAAAAAAATAATAGGGGTTTAGTTACATTTAGGCATGTGCATGGGAAACAATTTCGGTTCGGTTTGGCATTCCGAAATTTGGGACTTTGGCAATTCGGCACTTCGACACTTCGGATCTTCGGCAACTTCGGTACTTCGACACTTCGGAACTTCGGCACTTGGCCACTTCTGAGTTTCGGTAACTTCGGCACGTCGACACTTCGGAACTTCTCTTGCAGCCGCTTGGTAGATAACTCCCTAATTCCCACGGTATTAGGGAGTTATCTACCAAAAGGCTGAAAGACCTAAATTGGTCTTTCAGCCAAATTTACTAATACTAAGTAAAGTTTACTTAGTATTAGTAAATTATGCCCCTACTCGCTATACCGCGAGTAGGGACATGTCTATTAAACATTGAGCAGCCTTCCCCCACCCTGCAGAGCTCAGTCTGTGTGGAGCCCTCGCCAGGTGAACATGGATTTATTTATTTTTTGCCCTCGTTTTTTTTTGTTTTTTTTTAAGCGTTGGTTATTATGGCTTTTTATTTGGCCTTTTTTGGGGCTGAAAAAATAAGATTTTAGAAGAAAGAAAACATTGAATGGTAAGTTTTTTTTTCCCAGGTACTTAGTTAAATGGTCCCCCTTCATTATTTTTAGGGTGAGGGGGGTAGGTAGGGGTTAATTTTTTGGGGGAGGGGTGACTAGGGGTTTGGGGACCCCTAGTCACCCGGTGAAGGGGGTTAATTTTTTATTTAGGGCCCCACCCGCCGCTCAGGGGTGTGGGCCAGGGGGGAGGAAATCAGGTCCCCCCCCAATCAGTATTTTAGGGCTCCCACCCACCGCTCAGGGGTGGGGACAGGGGGGAGGACATTAGGTCCCTCCCCCTTATTCTGATTTTGGGCCCCCACCCGCCGCTCAGGGGTGGGGACCGGGGGGAGGAAAATAGGTCCCCCTCATTACTTTACTTTAGGGCCCCCACCCACCGCTCATGGGTTGGGGCCGGGGGGAGGACAATAGGTCCCCCCCTCCACAAGCTGCTCACTGTTTAAAAGACATGCCCCTACTCGCAGTATAGCGAGTAAGGGCATAATTTACTAATACTAATCTTTACTTTGAATTGGTCTTTCAGCCAAATTTACTAATACTAAGTAAAGATTACTTAGTATTAGTAAATTTGGCTGAAAGACCAATTCAGGTCTTTCAGCCTTTTAGTAGATAGCTCCCTAATACCGTGGGAATTAGGGAGTTATCTACTTATTCATTCCTGTTATTACATTGACTGGCCAAGCAACTTACATTTTATATGAATGTGTGTTACTTGATTGTTGTAAGTGTTGCAAACGCTTACAGCTGAATCCTGGCTATGTTTGTATACTTTTTATTTAAAATACTGTACAGTGTAACATTCTTCTTCTTCCACTGGGTAAGTATATTAGTACTTAGGCAATACTGTGCTTCAGCACTTCAGCACTTCGACACTTCGGAAATTCAGTAATTTCGGGACCTCGGTAATTCGGCACTTCGGCTCTTCGGACATTCGGAAGTACCCGAATGTCCGAATTTCCCAAAATTCGTCCGAATTCATATTCGGCCCGAAACGAATTGCACATGTCTAGTTACATTATATGAGCATACATTGCATAATCCTGCCACAACATCAATGTACCCCATTCTTGGCAGGTCCTACTCTAGCAGCCTAATGCCTGCCCTTATGAGATTAATCCACTTACATGGGAACTACTACTGGGAGTCTCTGCAGGTCAAGGCTAAATAGGATCCTGGAATGAGGCACATGTGACAGGGAGGGGTGCAAAACCAAGAGTTGCTGATAACTTTAAAATTAGCAGATCCTTTGAATTATCTCACTACTCTTTTGAGTGCAGTCTCAGTCTCTTTGTCTGCAAGTTGTAGCTAGGTACACAAGCTTACTTACTACTGTTCTGTCCATCACCTTCATCAGGAATTTTGTACACATGGGTGTAGCTACAGCATGGTCATCTTTGAGATGTATAAGCTCTATTAAATCCAGAATTGTGTGCCTTAGATTGAGACAAGGCCGGCCTGTCCATTGACCGCGGTGGGGCCATGGCTTCAGGCGACACATTGATAGGGCCATCATCATCTAAAACAGGGGTTCCCAACCCGTGGCGGCTGTGCACCTGTGTGAGGGTACATCAGGTGGCCCATTCATCAGGGTACATCAGGTACATCAGGTGGCCCATTCCCTTATAGCCACCTGATGAACATGTGCACTGAGGGGCCCCTATTATCTGCAGGGAGACCTCCCAGCTCACACAGAGACAGCCGTGAGGATGGGGCCGGACCGGGAGAGCATGCCCCCATCTCCCACCAGCTGCAGCCAGCAGAAGGCAAGAAACTAGTATTATTTTTTTTTAATGTGTGTGTATTTGTGTGTAGTGTATACACACACATTTTTTTTAATGTGTGTGTATTTGTGTTTAGTGTATACACTACACACAAATACACACACATTAAAAAAAAATGATACTAGTTTCTTGCCTTCTGCTTGAAGGCAAGAAACTAGTATTATTTTTTTTTAATGTGTGTGTATTTGTGTGTAGTGTATACACACACATTTTTTTTTAATGTGTGTGTATTTGTGTGTAGTGTATACACTACACACAAATACACACATATTTAAAAAAAATGATACTAGTTTCTTGCCTTCTGCTGGCTGCAGCTGGTGGGAGATGGGGGCATGCTCTCCCGGTCCGGCCCCATCCTCGCGGCTGTCTCTGTGTGAGCTGGGAGGTTGCTCCCAGCTCTCCCTGCAGATAATAGGGGCCCCTCAGTGCACATGTTCATCAGGTGGCTATAAGGGAATGGGCCACCTGATGTACCATTTACCACAGGTGTGGCCGAAATGTTGGACATATAGATAGTGCTAATGCATAAAATAACAAAGACAATTGCTATGTTAAACATGTTAAAATTGTAGATTGGCTACAGCTTAGCGGCACTAATTCACAGACAGTTATTTACTGTCATTGAATGGTATTCACTATCTAGCATCACTGTTAGTAAGACAAAATTCTGGATATGTTTTCTAATTATACAACACAATCTTTTATGGGCAGATATGTGCAGGGTTTGATGATTGTTAGCCAGATCCAAGTTATTGAACTTCATAAAGTCCACCAAACAATTGTTAAATACATTTGGTTAACCCCTACCAAAAATGACACAGTATTACTCCAAAGATAGTACTTGTTATTCTTCACAACTAGAGCCACTATGACGGAAGACTTGACTTATTACAAGTCCATTGCCACAATTGCGAACCTCCCACTACAGTATCAGATACAGTACCCAATAACACTGGCATGCTAATGTTACTGTTACTTTATATGTTACTGTGTGTTTGTGTAGTGTGTGTGTGTGTGTATCTGTATGTGTGTCAGTGTGTGTGTGTCTAGATCTGTATGTCTGTTTATCTGCATGCGGTACTGTGTGTATCTGTATGTCTGTATCTGTATGCATGTTAGTGTGTGTCTGTATTTGTGTCAGTGTTTGAAACACACTCTGCCACACATACAATTGCACAGACACACTGATACACATGCAGATATACAGATACAGACACTGACAAATACAGATGTACAGACACACAGAAACGAACATTGCCACACATGCAGGTACAGACACACAGATGCAAACACTGACACACATGCAGATACAGACACACTGATACACATAGTGACACAAATGCAGATACAAAGACACAGTTTATAGGTTAGTGTATTTGCGGCAGTGCACACACAGACACACATTTCATCCCCAGCACACACACAGACACACTACCATTGCAGACGCACATATGTTCGGGGGAAGAGGCAGCATTTCATCCTTGGACCCAGGCAGCACAATGTCTTGGGATGGCCCTGAATTGAGAAGATAAATTCTGTCATGATCTTTTGCTACGTGCATTGCGAGACAAAAGTTCCCCACTTCTACTTTTTTGTTCAATTCTATATCAATCTCTGTACAGTCCAGTTGTCTTTCACTGCACCAGGTCATGTCATCTACATAAACTAGTAGATAAGTCAATTTTCCATTTCTTTGCTTGGTAAATAGACATTGCTTTACAAATTAAATTTTGTTCTATGAGTAACATAGAAACATAGAAAGTGACGGCAGATAAGAACCATTCGGCTCATCTAGTCTGCCCAATTTTCTAAATACTTTCATTAGTCCCTGGCCTTATCCTATAGTTAGGATAGCCTTGTGCCTATCCCACACATGCTTAAACTCCTTTACTGTGTTAACCTCTACCACTTCAGCTGGAAGGCTATTCCATGCATCCACTACCCTCTCAGTAAAGTAATGCTTCCTGATATTATTTTTAAACCTTTTCCCCTCTAATTTAACCCCTTAAGGACAGAGCTTCAAAAGTTTGTCTTTCACTTAATGACAACAGCATTTTTTTCATTTTTTGCTGTTTGCGTTCAACTGCAATTTGCATTTTACTAATTTGTTGCACCAACACATATTATACATTGTTTTTTAAAGGACAGAAAGGACTTTAATTTGATGTAACACACATATATATAAATGCTTATTTATTATAAAAAAAATACTGAATTTTTCTTTAAAAAAATGATAATTTTGTGGGGGTTTTTTTTTACAGTTTTTGCAATAATAATGTGTGCATAATTAGTGCAGGTTAAGAAAAGTAATTAAAAATAAATTAATTTAGTTGTTCTGATTTACAGAATATATAATGTGTCTGATATTTAAAGTTTTTTTTGGTAGTTACAGGTCACAAAGCACAAGGAGTAAAATAGACTTTTAATGTGGAGCGATATTAGAATTTGGTATGTTTGTCTTGTAAGCTTAATAGCCATAAAAGAAAACAAAATTGCCACTCAAATGTATATATTTATATAAAGTAGACATCATGGGCTATTTACCTAAGGTTGTTTTGACACTTTCTACGTAGCCATTTCACCGCAAACCTCTGCTAAATATTGGAGTAAAATTGTGGGGTTTTTTGGTTTTTGGCACACAAACTTATAAAGAAATTCTCATGTATATTTTGTAAAGCTGGTGTGTGCTATTCCTGTACAAAGTTTTATTTTGTGTTCAGTTACATCTGCTGAGTAAAATGACACCCCCATTGTATGTCTTTGGCACTATTTCGAGAAGTTACAGTGCCATACAGGATACCTGTCCTTTTCAGTATTCACAGTAGAATTTTGAGAGATGGATTTAATGAGCCTTAGCTTCCATTTGGGGTATTATAACAGTTTGACTGTTCAAAAACCCCCCACAAAGGCCTACCATTTGTAAAAGTAGACACTCCAGGGTATCTCATAAGGTGCATATTGTGCCTTAACATGCCCCCATTTTTTCACCAATATATGCCAAAGTATGTGGTAAAAAATAATTTTGTGCATTTTTTACATACGGATTGCATTTTTGCTGGGCGTTTTGTATATTTCATATGTGCCACTAAGTTCAAACCCCCCAAATTATGCTCAGCTAAGTCTTCTGAGTAAAAGGACACCCCCATTGTATGTCTTTAGCACTATTTCGTGAAGCTACAGTGCCATATAGGAGATCTGTCCTTTTCAGTATTCACAGTAGAATTTTGAGAGATGGATTTAATGAGCCTTAGCTTCCATTTGGGGTATTATAACAGTTTGACTGCTCAAAAAACCCCTACAAAGGCCTACCATTTGTAAAAGTAGACACTCCAGGGTATCTCATAAGTTGCATATTGTGCCTTAACATACCCCCATTTTTTCACCAATATATGCCAAAGTATGTGGTAAAAAATTATTTTGTGCATTTTTTACATACGGATTGCATTTTTGCTGGTCGTTTTGTATATTTTTAATATGTGCCACTAAATTCAAACCTCCCAAATTATGCTCAGCTAAGTCTTCTGAGTAAAAAAACACCCCCAATGAATGTCTTTGGCACTATTTCGTGAAGCTACAGTGCCATATAGGAGACCAAGCCATATCCGTTTTTACCAGACTTTGAATTTTGACGCTGGGCCTATGTGCAATTTCCAAGCATCTTCGCAGGTTTTAAATTCAAACTACCCCACGAAGGTCTACCATTTCTTAAAGTAGATACCCCAAGGTGTTTCAAAAGGTATATTTTGAACCTTAGCGTGGGATCATTTTTCCACTAGCTTGTACCAGATGTAGTGGCCTTTTTGACATACAAAGTGAGTTTGCACAGTATATTTTGCAAACCTTATGTGTGCTACGACTGTATAATACTTCATATGTTGCTCAGCTATGTCGGCTGAGTACAGCAATACCCCTGTATGTACCTTTGCCAGGTATGTGTGGACATCGGAGGGGCACATTTGGGGCACAGCCATTCCAGTTTTTTTCAAACTATGAATTTTTACGCTGTGCCTATGTCCCATTTTAGAGTATTTTACAAGGCTGTATAATCCAAATACCCCATAAAGCCATACCATTTCTTAAAGAAGACATCCCAGGGTATTTCAAAAGGCATATTTTGAACCTTAGCGTGGGATCATTTTTCCGCTAGCTTGTACTAAGTGTAGTGGTAATAAGCATTTTTTCTGCCTTTTTGACATAAAAAGTGAGTTTGTGCAGCATATTTTAAAACTTATGTGTGCTATGACTGTATAATACTTCATATGTTGCTCAGCTATGTCGGCTGAGTACAGCAATACCCCCGTATGTACCTTTGCCAGGTATATGTGGATGTTGAAGGGGCGCATTTGAGTTTTACGCTGTGTCCATGTTCCAATTTGGAGTAATTTAGACGGTTGATTATTGAAACTTCCCCACAAACACATACTATTTATTAAAGAATACACCCTGGGGTAATTCAAAAGGCATATTTTGAACCTTGGCGTGGGATAATTTTTTCTCTAGTTTGTTCCAGGTGTAGTGGTAATGAGCGTTTTTAAAATGTATTTTTTTACTTTTAAAAACTAGTTTTTAAACTTTTGTTTTGCTTATTAATTTTTTTGACTTGAGGTCAGAGCGAGCACATGTGCTGGGCAGCCTGACTGGGTGCTCCCGGTCTGCCTCTAATGCAGAGGCATACCGGAGCACCATTAAACCCGCGATCGTCACTAAGGGTCTTCCCTGTGTGACGGACCTCGTCCGTCACCCGTCCTTAAGGGGTTAAGACTATGTCCTCTTGTTGTGGTAGTTTTTCTTCTTTTAAATATGGTCTCCTCCTTTACTGTGTTGAGTGTTTTACAGCTTCTCATTTCATGGTCATATAGTCCTTTTTGAAGCTTGCATATTGGGTCTTTATTTCAAATCCTTCATGTTTCAAAAAGTTCTTCATCTGTTTTGCCATTGAAGTGTGTTTACTTTACGTCAAGCTGCTCTACATGAAGCGGTTTAGATACTGCAGTAGTTAGTAATGTTCCAATTTTGCTGAACTTAATTACTGGTGCAAAGAAGTCGTCATAGTCTTCACTATACTTCTAGGTACATTTCGCTGCTAGTTTAGCTTTGTAATAGATCACATTTCTATCTGCATCCAGTTTTTGCTTGAATACCCACTTGCAACCTATGGCCTATATATCTTTAGGTTACTCATTGAGAATCTATGTTTTGGTTTTGTTTAAGGATTCATTTTCTATTTTAGCTGTTTCCTTCCAGTTAGTGGCTGCTGTAGTAGAAAGTTTATTTATATTACTCCAA